GAGGCATTTTTGTGCCAGAGGCAGGATAGATGAGGTGGTGTGCTGCCCTTTCATCCCGTGACTGCCCAGGCACTGCTTTGCACAGCAGCAGGACAGCCTGGGTCCCAAAGTGTTCCCGGGAGCCTCGGTGAAATGCAAAGGCACAACCCATTGACTGGAACCAGCTGGGAAGTGGTGGTGAAGCTTGCTTACCAGCAACCCGTCTTTGGGTTAAACAGGATGCCACTACAAAGGGTTTGGCCATCCTGCTTCCTCCCACAAAGTACGCAAGTAGGGGGGGAATTTCTGTTCGGGAAAGGGCAGCCCTGCTCTGGTGTGTCACCTTGTGACAGTGGCAGAGATGGTCTCCTTGGGCAGTGGGGTACCCCCACCCTCCCTGGCCCCATGGGCAGAGGGCACTGTGCCTGTAGAGCTGTCTGCAGCACCCAAAGGGTCCCAGAGCTTAACCCCACCTTGAGTCTCCAACCCTTCCTGCTGCCTAAAAGTGGATTTGAGGCATGCTTGTTTGCAGCAAGGTAAGGAACAAGCAGAGGAAAACCTCAGGTTTCTATTGGGAACTGCCGGTCGGTCTTTGCTGTGGACAGGCTGTGTGTCTCTGAAGTAGTCTTTCAGTGGAGGCACCAGTAAGTTAGGGGGGTTTGTTTGGTTTTTGATAGTTTTCTGTACTCTCCTGCAGCAGGTTCCCTCAGATGTGGAAGTGTTCGAATGAGGCTTTGCAATATCAGCTGCTAAGCAAAATGTTGGGTTTTATTTTTATTTTTTTATTCCCATGTGTCCCTGAAGGTCAGAAATTTGCCAGACATGAGGGGAATGAGGCTGAAATAACTTGGTAAAGCATCCCTGGTAGACAACTTTTCACTTGCCCATTTACCCTCGAATTCATATGCCATTTTCTTACTGCCTGGTGTTGTGGATCCCTGCCAGAGTGGATTTGACTAATCTTTGCCTGTGACTCAGAAGAGAGATGTGTTGGGAACATTTTTTTTTTTTCTTTTGAAAAATGAAGTGAAAGTTTATTAACCTGTAGAGTTAAAAGAGATCAGCCAGCCAAATGAGGAAGTAAAACCTTCCTATAGAATGAGCTCTAACCTGCTCACTGCACTTGTTTGCTCTCAGTTGACATCAGCCTTGCCATAAAGGCTCTAAATACGGGCTGACGACTTCCTTGTGAGCCTGGTACTGCTCTGAATCCAGCTTCTGGCTCTCGAATGGTGGGACGATACTGCTGGGACGCAGAAATCGCAGCTGTCAGGTAAGGTGCGGAGCAAGCAGGGCTACCTGTGAGTAGGGCTCGCTCTCTGGGGTGTTCACTTCTATTATTTTTGGCAAATGCAGCAGGGAAGGAGGAGAAAAAAAAGGTGAATCTTTTCTTAGTCATCAAGACAACAAATGACTGGACTTATTATTAAGAATTTATATAGATCTCTAATTTGTGAAAGTAAAAATTCTTATTTTTCTGAAAGCAGAACAAACCTATCTTCTTTCAGAGAAACAGCTCATGGAAGGGCTTGAATGGGCTGGCAGGCTCAGGTGATTCTTTGGGACAGGAGGAAGAAGAGGTGGCCCAAACCTAAGGTGTGAGGGGGAATGCTGTTACTCATCATGGACGGCTATTTTAGAGAAGACCCAAACCTCCTCTGCCTTGATCAATGCCAGGTCCAGCTGGGACATGGGCAGGATTGGGCAGGATGGGGCATTGGTGTGGCTTTGAGGAGCCTCAGCTCCTTCTGAGGCAGGCTGGTTCTTATTGAGGTTCTGTGGCTTGAAGCTGCTGGAAGTGCTCCTTAAACACACACCTGTGGGGCACTGGTCCTGCTCTGCCAAGTGGAGTCAACACCTGACGGAAGGACTAGGCAAAAATTATTCTTTAAAGTCATTCAAGCTGAGGAATTAGGATATAACCACTACTTCTTTTGGAACATTTTTACAAAAATTACCAATTATTATTTTCTAATCCTCCAAATCATTCAAAATATAAAAAAGACAGAAAAACTTGACAGGTCTCTCATTTTTTTTTTTGGTCAAAAGTAATTTTTTTTAATAGCTTAAATGTTAAGGTTATAATATAATTTTGGAAATGTCACTAAAGCTGGTCCCTCTGTGTGGGTATGCCAGAGGGGGCACAACACCGCAGAGAGGGGTGCTTTTTAAGCTAGAAGATAGGATGGGCACATGATTACCTGTGGATAAATTTATCTGGGAAATGAGAAGCCTTTGCCTTTCAGTGAAGGGAAAACAAGAACAGCTTCCCAACAGAGTCTGCTGAGGTAGGGGGGAAAAGTGTCAGGAGGAAATCAAAGTAGTTTGAAAACAAAGGTCATAAAATTTCTAAAAGGGATTTCACAACCCATTTGGCTGTGATAGCAAAAGCTGGACTCTGTCATGCACAACTTCTCCTCTTGTCATACATTATTGTGCTGGTTATAAGCACACAACTGACTTGTTGGAGTTGGGCATGCTGCTGACTGTTCACTAACATGTAAGCTTGTGATTTTATTATCCTTTAATTCTCTCTTTAGATGGGTGACCTTAGTGTTGGCTGTGACCAAGGCTTTTATCTCAGGGTGTCAAAGGGTGGAAAGGGTGTAGATGTGGACCATGGGCTCAGAGCTTCCTGAGATGGAGCTGGAAAAGTGAGGTGGTGAGCAGCCTTCATCCAGCACAGGCTGACACGTGCTGCTGTTGCTGCTGCTGAGGGGGGGCTGAGAGGTGCACACCACAGGATGGACATGGCCTCTGCAGCTGCAAAGCTGTCTGGTAAAATTTGGGATTCAATTGAACCTACTTTCTGGTGAAATCCAGGACAAACATGCACACAACACAACTTGATGCTAACGTGGAAAAATGTTCTGATCTATTTATCTATCTATCTATCTATAAGCATCAGAACAGATAGAAGTACAGGTTTAAAAATAATAGTGATGCCTATTAAAATATGTATTAAATATTTTCTTTTCAACCTGAGGACAGATATCAACTAAAGTTTTTCATTTACAATAATTTATTAAAATAAACTATCAAAAAGAAGTCAAGTAGTACATGTTAAGGGTTGGAGCCACTAACCACACATCTGGAAGGAGGGTTTGCTACATTGCTAGCCCAGCTGTGACAGCTTCGGCCGTATTTGGGTACAATGATACATTCATGGATCTCAGTTCAGAGAGTAGCTATTTCAAAGCTGAGATATCATTTCAGTAATGAAAAAGCAGGCAAATTCTTTTTCACCTTCAGTCCATGAATTAAAAACAAAGATTAGGTGTGAAAACTTAGAGTTGTGGATTGCACTGTGAGGAAAAACACTCAAGCTAAGATAAGCAATGTTTTCATTTAGATGGAAAAATCCACATGGTAACGGCTTTCCCCTTATGTATATGACATACTTAAGGTGCTTTTTATTTTCCTGATGCTGTTTGTCACTTCTAACAGAGTGCCAGCTTTCTTCCACAGAATATCTGAAAGCTATAAGGCTATACAGAAAGGTAAAGGTCAAAGTTGTATGAGGTGGGGTTATTAACTAGTTATCAGGTTTTCCTGGTAAACTAATCAGTTTTAAATTAACTGAACCCAATGCAGATTTCTTCCCTATAGCCCTGGGAGTCCTTAATGCCTTGGGGAGGAGCAGCACTCAGGCTCCTGTCCCTTCTCCCTGTTTCCAGTCCCTCCATGCCTTCCTCCAGATGGATTTGGCTCCCAAGCTCCTGGAGTAGCCCACTGCTGGGCAGGCAGGGGGTGGTGGGCTGGAGGCATGTGGAGCAGGCTGGGAAGGGGAGCTGGCAGGTGCAATGTGGTTATGGCTCTGGGCTTGCCAGGAAGGTAGTTGTTCGGTCAGTTAATTCTGCATCATTTGCTGGCTGCAGTTAGTGAAGGGAAGAGGGCTGCCCTTATGTCCTTCCCATGGGTAGATAAACCAGTCACAGCTTTTATTCAGGTAGCATCAATTGCAGAGGTACGGTGAAAGAAGCTTCAATGCAAGTATACCAACGGTGACCCAAGATATTTGGCTTGATGGATGAGTAGTCACCATGTATGTCCTGCTCTTGTCACACTTGTTGGGCTGAAGCAGCTCTGGCTATGCTGCCCATCACCTTCATTTACTGGGTAGACCAGAAATGTAAATAGTGCAGTTCTGGAGAAGCTTGAAGTAGCTTTCTGCTACTTCTGCACACTCATTTCTGAATTACCAGTTTTTCTTGACAATAAATATAAGTGAAATTGAAACAGCTTTTCAGATTGCCTGCTTCCAACCACTGCCATGACAGCTTTCAAAACACAAGCTGCTTCTCTGAATGTAAAAGCCCTCACTGGACTAGCAAATACCAGGAAAAGAGTAAGTCAGGCATCATCGGAACAGATGAGTGACAGAATTTCACAAGGTATATCTGTGTATGGACACACAGACATACTAGGAAAGACAAAGCTGTTTTAAAAAGTTCAGAGTTCCCAGCTTCTTTGCAAACAAACAACACGTTTCCTTAAACCACTCGATGAAATTTGCTGTTGTTGTTAAGTTGCTATGGCATCTGCGCTCATCCAACAATATTTGATAGATTTTTATCTGCGGCTCACAAACCACACTGAGCAAACTGAAAATCCCCAGTTACACCGTCCTTTATATCATTTCCTGTGAGATAAGTCTGAACAACAAACTTACGCATACAGCGTGTCTGTGGACAGACAGGCTTGCATAGCTCATGAAGTCGGATGACACCTGTCTGACATAATGCCTGGAGAGTGACAAATGTTGCATGGGACACTCCAGTGCTTTTATAAATAAGAGTGGACCAGACAAATGCTAAAATGCTCAGAGAAGACCCAGCAGTCACTTCAGAGAGAAGACAGCTGATCAGATAGTCTCTTTGCTGTGTGCTAGGCAAATAACTGAGCGTGCACGTTCTTCCTTAACACTTGCTTTTTGTTGTTTCTAGTCTTACCCCCACCTAAAGCTGATGCCTGTTGGATGAGGCTGGGAAGACAGGAGCACTGGGTTTAAAGGAAACTAAATGCCTGCTATGATGGAACTAGCCAGTTCACTTTCTAGCAAGCCAGTACCACCATGCTCCAAAGTTTCTACAGCAGGAGTGGAAGTGCACCAGAGCAAGCTGGATTTTTTCTGCAAGCTGGGCTATGGTAAGCAGGACATCTGCAAAGTGCTGGAGAACTTGGGCCAAGAGGCCCTGGAGGATGATGTGCTGAAAGAGCTGATTCGGATGGGGCGCAAACCTCAGGCTCTGGAGAGCCAGACTCAACCTTCCCCTCTAAAACTTGTTGCCCGTGGATCATGTAGCACTTCCCCAGTGTCAAAGTGGCTTGGAGAAGATGACAGTGATTCTTCCAATCACTTGAGACCCATTGTGATCGATGGCAGCAATGTTGCAATGAGGTAAGCTCTGTTTCCTGAAAGGGATCTCTCTTCCTTTGCAGTTTTTGAATTTTAAACCCGATGGCTTGAAGTATGTTTTTTTCTTCAGCTGAGACATACATTGATGTATTTAATGTACAAAACACCCCTTATTCCTGTTCCTTGAGGCACAGCTGTCTCTATGCCTGTAAATAAGCACATTAAATGCAATCACTGGTTCGCTCTGCATTTTGACCTTTCATAGCCACCAGCCAGCTAACCACTACTGTTTACAGCAGTATGATTCAGCAGCTCTCTCTTCCTTTTCATTCACCATTGATGTTTCCCTGCCTTTTCAAATGCGTACCTAGGATTTCTAAATCTATATGCTGAGGTGTTTCCAGGAAAAACTGATGAACAGATAGACAGAACAGCCCAACTAACCTAAGAAGGAGAGGAAAAAAAAAGACTGGTGGCTGTGGTTCCCAACAACATCCCAGTCACACTGTTTTAATTTACAAGGAAACCCCAACAATGTTCCCAGCTTATATATTTTGGTTGGTTTTTGGTTTGGCTTCATTTTTATGGAAATATCAGGGAACTGATAGTTGACTTGTACTGAATAGTCTCATTTCTTCCTTAATTAATTCTGTTTCTGGGAAATGTCATAGCAATCCATCCTGGCCAATTACATTTCCTAAGCAGTGTCCTGACACTGTAAAAGCACCTTTACTGACAGGGAGCCTGTCATGTCCATGTGGATGGGAAGTCCAAAGACAGCAGTGGGTTGGCCTCTGGGTACCTGAGCAATAGGAACAGCCAGAGGCCCTGGCAATCAGTGTCCAGGACGCACTGGCTGTCCACCAGTTTTCTCTGTTCAACATGGCCAAGCCCGTCCTCACAGGTTGGGACACCAACTTCCTCCTTCTGTTAGCTTTGGTGTGAGGTGAGATGAGACCACATCCCCTCTGCTTAGAGGGCAAAGGGGACAAGCACATCCAGAGCAACTAGAGACTAAGCAAATTATGCCATCTTCTGGATGAAGGGTGAAATCTCATCCAAAACTGAGGGGTTCCTTGGTCAGGGCAGCCAAGAAGAGAGCCAAGAGATTTTGCACAACAGAGCAAAATCGCTTAGCCTTGGCTGGACCATGAGCTCAGCAGCCAGGTGTTAGGATCTCCTGCCCTTATTTGCATTTTAACCCTAGACCCTCCTTAGAGTGTCCTTCTTGCCTCTCTGTGGAAGAAATGAGCTCCCATCCAGGCTAAGTTGCTGAGTTGAGCACCTACCCTTTCATTGTGTTAGGTGCAGTATTACCCCTGACTGGCCATGTGCTCCATTCTCCTGGCATGACCTTGTCCTCACCTATTTGCTAAGGCTTTTTTAGAGCAGGCAGAGGTGGACAAGGCAGAGAACAGTGTTTTTTTATAAGATGGCAGAAAACACACCCTTGTTGCTGAGCAGGAGGCCCAGAGTAGGTAGGTGGCTAATTGAGATAGATAGTGCATGTTTTGAGCTTGGAATACTCTGGGAAGGCCCTGAGATCATCCCAGCTTATGTGAGTCTGAGAGATGCTTGCCTGCCAGATTCTTGAAGGCTGGTGTTCTGCTGTGGATTCCTTGTTTTTCACCTAAAAGGAATTAGAGGAATGTGAAATACTTTTGAGTTTCAGAAAGGTGAAGGCTTTACAGCTCTTCTCAGACATCCCCAACCTCTGTCTTGACAAAGCTAATGACTGCTTGGATGATGGAGAAGCCTATTGAGCCTATCCGTTCAGTTCATACTGAACCAATGCAGCCTTGAAGGAGTTGCTTTCCTCTCCTGGATGCCTTTCCAAAGTGGTGCTGAATGGCATTTACTTTGGCTAATGGGACAGGCTTAGTGAGTGCTTTCAGCACCCTTGTTTTAATTTTTCTGGTTTGCTGCTGTCAGACAGAGAAGGGCAGTTTGCAGCATAGTCAGGGAAAAGGGATGTTAGGTTTCATTGCTGGGAAAACTTCATCCTCAACAACAACAACCATAAAAGTAGAGGAGAAGCAGCAGTGTAGGGATGAAGCTGTCAAAAAGTTGAAACTTGGAGAGGCAGTGTGGAGAAAAGCATCTCGAGCATTTGTATTTTTGTCTTAGAACTGGTTTTTCTGGAGCATTTTACAGTTGATGTTGAGGCCCCATTGCGGGCTGCAAGGTTTTGAAAAGGCTGTAAATGCCCCAAGATAATAAAGCAAGTGAGTGAGTTGGCGGTCTCCAACCATCAACCAGCCTATCCACAGAAACCAAATGGAAAATAACCTTGCCTTCAGCTCATCTCACTAGTCAAGCATCTCAGTACACTTTGCCTTTCCATCAGATGTAGCAAAAACCATAGCTGTCTGCCAGCCTGTCCATGGGAAGCGGGCAGGATGGTTTAGTGGCTAGTGGAAAAAATAAATGGAGTTGTGTTAATATGAAAAGGGAACTGTCATAACCCTATTCACTGCACACTGAAGAGGCTATCTAGTCTAGTGCTTGACCTTACACCTAGTTTTTAAGCTGTGATAGGTACAGAGGTCTTTTCCAGTCCTGTGTTGGGCTCTCTCACCTCTGCCAAAGCTGTGGCTGAGGCTCTGTCACAACCAAGTGGAGATGGGTTCATTTGCAGATTTCAAAAGGAGTTGTTTTGACTAAACTTCTTCTCAAAGAGGTTGGGATTTCATAATTTAAAAAGGAGTCACTGCATGCTAATTATGGATTAATTGCCGGTGTCACAACGAGGCCAAATCGTTGCTTCAGTTTCTGAGAGGTGGGCCCTGCTGATCTGTGCAAGGTACCCTGCTGCTGTCAGGAGGGAGAGAGATGGGGCTGAGTTATGTCAGATCGGTTATGCCCATGGACTATGGGGTGTGGGAAAGGTGACTGACAGAAGCCAGTCTGTTGTCAGGCAACCCAAACTCACTGTGCTGGGAGAACGAAACCTTTTAAAGCCCCTGCTCCATTGCAGCGTGCGTGTCCTTACTATTCCAGATACACATTCCCCAGGTCTGGCTGTAGCAGTGTAGCAGCAACTGGATTAAGTGCTAATGCTGAGAAACAATTCCAGCTGCCTCTTCTTGCTTGTTCTGCTTGGCCTTTTGGCCAAAGCAGTTGTGCTCAAGTGCTTTACCTTCTGCACAAGGGATACAGCTAGAATTACTTTCCTAAAGCTGACAAGGTTATGTTTATGAGTAGTCGATGTTGAAGCAGGCTGTAGTTGAACTTTGTTTGAATCATGGCATTGAAGATGTACCTAGACTTCCTTTTAAAGGCAGTTATCTGAAAAAGTCACCTGCACATCCAGTTCTTTTGTTCAGGTGACTTTATACCTATCCTGGGTAGATCCTGTCCTTTAAAACCAAACAAAACTGCTGCTCTAGAATGGAGATTAGATGTGTCAAGCACTTCAGACATTTATTATTGGTAATTTTTTTTTTTAAAGATTTCCTATTGCCTGGGTAGCTATTAATATACAACGAGGTTTCTTCCTCCAAACTGCACTATTTTTTCATTTGAGGTCACAACTTCAGCACTGAAACTTTTATTAGGTGTAAAATGGAGCTTTGATTATGAGGCTGATGTAGGCAGAACCTGGACTGGAATTCCCGGGGTATGGTGAGGAGAGAGGCATTTAAGACTGTGGCATCATCCTTGACTGGTCCGTTACTGCAGATAGGGGTAGTAACCGAGAGAGTAGTTTACAAATATGTTTCCAAGAGGTGAAAGCCTGAGTAAGACTATGGCAATATTATCCAGAAAGCTCAAAGTACAAGGATGAGGTTTCTGTAGATACTGTGAGGGCGTTTATCCATTTTAGGACTTTGTGTAGAGTTGATTTGTGTTTCCTTGTGCACAGGTTGTTAACAAATTACCTTCTTTTACACATGCACTGCACTGTAGTCAAATTTTAGATAAGAGAATGTCAAACAGTAAGAACTTTCAATAACGGGGGAGAAACTTAGGAAGGTTATCACCCCTAATTGTTTCTATTGAGGTTGTTTTCTGTGCCTTGCTTTGGATGTTGATAATTCTGCAGAACCCACCTTGCCTGCATCCACTACAGCACGTCCTAGGGATTTCCTACTTCTCTGTGCAATGAAGACAAAAATCCACCAACTAGGGCAAAATAAAGATGGGCATGAGGTGCCTGTGGCCATCTCCACTGAGGACTTGTCCCTTTTTTGGTGTCCTGGCTTAATTTCTCTGTATTTCCCATCCAGCCTCTTACAGTTTTCCTTCCCCCATAGTTTGACTTCTGTTTCCAAAAGAGGTCAGCAGCAGAATGACCCACAATCACACTTGCAGCCACTTCAGCCATTAAAATCACTAATGTCACTGTTACCACAGAAGAAAATTCCCATATTTTATTTCTCATCGAAAAGCCTTTTGGGTTTCTGCTTGTGCTAGAAGAAACTCTTACTTCTCAAACCATTATCAGACAAGGCACGAGAAAGTTTCTGACACAGCCTAAGATCTTGCTGGTACTTTAGGACCAAAGTCCATCAGATGGAAGCAACAGGCTTGGGTAGCAGGCGGGTCATAGAAATGGGGGATAGGAATGACAGGAAAGCTGTTTGTTTTGCCTTTTCATTACTGACTCAGTTAAAGAGAACTGGAAGCTTCCTGAAAGTTTTGCCTCATCATTCTCCTCTTATTTTTTTATAGCCATGGAAACAAAGAGATATTCTCCTGCTGGGGGATCCAACTGGCAGTGGATTGGTTTCGAGAAAGGGGGCACAAATACATCAAAGTTTTTGTCCCACTCTGGAGAAAGGAGCCTCCTCGACAAGACAGTCCCATTGCAGGTAGGTAACCATCCCAGGCACAATTTGGCAACCACTAGGTGCAGTTTGGAGACAGAGGGTGTGAAGAATCCCGTACAGTTCCGCCCTGTAAAGACAAGCACAGTGCAAGTTGTGTATCAGGTTCCCATCCTTAAGTTAGTTATTTATTTATTGTCGCCTGCTCCCAGCTAGCAGCTAAAACTGCATACAAGGCTTTGTGGCACTCCTTTGAGCCTTCTGCTTTACAAGCACAAGCTGCTGCCAGCCAAGTTACAGAACAGCAAGTCTGTCAGCTCACTACAAGTCTGCAGAGCTTTTAAGGCCAGCTAGGAGACACCAACATCATTGCACACGTTACCCAAAAGCATCGGTATCTGAAGCATTCACAACTGGGTGACGATTACAGGAGCTACATGGGTTTCTCTTCCGGGATAAGGAAATACACCGGCTGAAGTCTGTGGAGGGTGGTGAGATTTAGTTTGTGTGGAAATAGACCTGCCAGATTTGTGCCAGCAGCTTGGCATCTGCAGATGAGGGAGCTGGGGATCCGCCTTTCTGCATAGCAACAATAGCAGGAAAATAAGTTTATTTATTTATTTATTTGGGGTAATGGCTATAAACTGGAAGAGGATAGATTTAGATTAGATATTAGGAAGAAGTTCACTGTGAGGGTGGTGAGACACTGGAACAGGCTGCCCAGAGAAGCTGTGGATGCCCCCTCCCTGGAAGTGTTTAAGACCAGGCTGGATGAGGCTTTGAGCAACCTGGTCTAGTGGAAGGTGTCCCTGCTGATGGCAGGGGGGTTGGAACTAGATGATCTTTAAGGTGCCTTCCAACCCAAAGCTATGATTCTGTGATTCTATGATTTATTTTGTCAGGTATGTTTTTATCTCCAAGTGAAGATCATATCAGTGCTGGTTATGAGTCTTCTAGCATCTAGTGGGGTAAAAAGGGAACTGCAGGGGTTCAGTATGCCTCTGGTATAGAATTCGAGCCATCCTTTTACAGATAAGACTTAAAAATCAAAAAAAGATGTCTCGAATTTTACAAGTAGATGCTTTTGTAAAAGACCTAATTTCCAAGTTGCCAAATAACCACCAGATATCAGTGCATGTGAAAATCACACCACGGTAAGTTGCCTAAAGTGCTGAAACATCTTTAGATTCTTGTAGGTTTCTAGCACATGACTGAGACCTGGTCATTATTAATTAATTAGTTTATCTTTTAAAAAACTTTTTTCCCCTTCTATTTCTGCCAACCACCCCACCAGATCAGCACATTCTTGAAGAGCTTGAGAGGCAATCGATCCTTGTGTACACCCCATCCCGGAAGGTGAAAGGCAAGAGGGTAGTTTGCTATGATGATCGCTATATAGTGAAAGTTGCTTATGAGAAAGACGGAGTCATTGTTTCCAATGACCATTACCGGGATCTCCAGAATGAAAACCCTGAGTGGAAATGGTTTATTGAGCAGCGACTACTCATGTACTCTTTTGTCAGTAACAGGTAAGAGACAGTTGTTGTTAAACAATCCTGAATTTAAAAATTATGGGCCAAGTCTGCTCCAACATCAATGCACCTCCTGCGAGTAGCAGAGTACATGAGCCTTTTTCTGAAAAGAATTTACCACAACTTTTCTTATTGACTCCCCCATGTCACTCTTCAATGAACTTCTCTATTTGAATGGCAGCGTTAGTGACCAGATTTGCTTCTTTCCAACCCAAACTGGGATGTTAAACCAAGTGTTGGTATCTTTTAATTTCTATTTCCTATAAGAAACAGAATTAAATCTGTGAGAGAATGCTGGATATCTGGCAGTATTTTTAACTTCCCTACAAGGCAGAACAACACTTTTTCCTATGCTTTTCCTAACTTTATAGAAGGAGAGAGAAGAGAAGCTGGTCTCTTCAGCCCTTAGCCATCCTCACTGGGGAAGGATTTCATTAAGGCATTTGTACCATGCCTGTGAGGCTGAGTTGTATGCCCCTCAGTCTGTACATATTAACCTTGCCTGGGTTTCCTACTTGTTTCCTTGCTGGCCTTCAGTCTGGCTGGGGAAATGCAGTTGGAGATATCCAGTGTGCATGGATGAGTGTGAGCAGAGGAGCTGCCTCACACAGTAGTCCTCTCTGTGGGTCAGGATGGAGACTTGGGTTTTCTCACCACCAAAATGGGATGGGAGTGCTTGGCACTGGGTTTCAGTTTCCCTGTAATGTTGTTCAGAGAAATGCAGTCACTGAACAATCAGCAGACTGTATTTCTTGAAGCTCCAGTCCATTGTCACCAACTACTATCAGGCTTCTTCCTGCACAGCTTTGGGAACCTCTCTAGAACCACAGGCTGAAGTTGGAGGTTTCAGTCCTGTTATATGGATAACCAAGTTCCCCGAGTGCCTCCCTTCCCCTCCTAGCCGCGACTCCCTTCATCTGACAGAGTTGTTGTCCCATGGGTGGGTGCAGTGCAGATTCATTTGCAAACAAGTCCAGAGGTGCTAATTAGTTTTCTTCCTGAAGCATCACATTCAGGTACTGGCACAGAACAATAAACAGTTTTATGTGAGCATTTTGTAGGTCTTGTAGCAGGAAGCCTTTACTGAATCCTTGAAAAGGGCTGGGCTCGTTTATCGCAACACATGCATGATCAGCTGTAGCTCTGAATTAGCTGCTGGCTTTTAAATCTTCATTCTCATTCGAATATTTAGTAAAAGAAAAGTGAGTTTGCTGTGGAAGGGAGCTGATGGCGAGGATCATAGTGCTGGGAACACAGAAGAGTTTGCTGCTGCCACTGCTTCAGAGAAAAAGGAAGCAATGCTGCAATGGTCAGGGCTGCTGGCTGGCCAGAGCTGTGCCAAGGCACTATGCCTTTCTGGTCATTTTAAGTAATTAAGGAAAATTAACAACTACATGAAACTGAAGCATTGTTGTCTTGGCAGGCAGGAGGGCACCGTGTCTAGTAACACAGCCTGACTCCTGAAGGCTAGGCCACAAAAGGATCACAAGGATTTTCTGCACTAATCTTGTGCCACAAGCTGTGATGGCACTTCAGCTCCAAAAGCTCAAGATATTTTTTGTTACCCCTGTGACTTTTTCCTTTTTCAGGTTTATGCCTCCTGATGATCCATTAGGCCGGCATGGACCCACTCTTAACAATTTCCTCAGCAAAACACCAGTGCTTCCTGAACCAAAGTGGCAGCCTTGTCCCTATGGTGGGTTTCTCTCTGTGCTGTGAACTGCTGCCCCATTTCCTCCTGCCCCTTGCTTCCTAGCAGCATTTTCCTTCAGCCAAGGGCAAGCACCATTGCCATGTCCTGTCCTGCTTTGTGCAGCAGGGACTTGGATTGGGGCTGCTCAAACGTGTGATGCTTTTTTCCTCTCCTGCTTAAGTGGTTTCAGCCTCCACAAGGCAGCAGCTGTTCCTGGCTCCTCCATCCTCACCTGGGCGCAGCACCCAAGCCAGGCACTGTGGCCGTGCTGACCCCCAGCCTGCACACGCTTTTCTCTATGCAGGGTGGACTTGCATTGTAGTACTTGTGAAAGGCCATCCAAATGCTTCCCCTCTCTCTCCCCTCCCAACAGCTTTCCCACAACATGGAGGTTTCTCAGAGGTAAACCCCTATACATTGTTTTTTAAAGCAACCCATTGTAGCAGCAGGTCTCCCAGCCCACTGAGTGCAGCAACCGGAACATAAATGAATTTTAATCACTTCCAAAATAGCAGGAACTTCCTTTCACTGCTGCTTAACCCCGCTATTTAGGTCAGCAGTATTTAAATCTGGGGTCAAAAGTACTGAATTGGAAAATAGCACTTCCCCTCTCTGCTGTTTGTGCTCACCACACCCCTGCAACTGCACGGTGCTGGGGAGTGCGTTAATTGATGTGGGTGCTGGCGACAACCTCCTGTTTGATTTTTTTTTTTTTTTAATTCTTTCAGGTAAAAAATGCACCTATGGTAATAAATGCAAATTTTACCACCCAGAGAGACCACACCAAGCTCAGCTCTCAGTTGCTGATGAGCTCAGGGCCAAAATAAGGGTCCAGTTAAGCCTGGGGAAAGAGGAGGAGAAGCGTAACTGCTTGCTGTACAGGACCGGAGGAGAGCCTGCACCACCCAGCGCCTGCACAGAAACGCTGCGAGAGTCCAGCAGCCGTGCAGAGGCTTCCTGCTACCCAGGGTGGCCGCGGGGGAGCTCTCCTGAGCAGCCATCCAGCACCTGGGCCACTGGCCCTGGCTCTGAGCTGGGGCCAGAGCAGCGGTTGCTGCAGGCAGAGCCGCTGCGAGACCAGCCACTCCTGGAGGAGATGTCAGCGCTATCCATCAGTGATGACACCTACAGCTACAGTCGGTCCATACACGCCTCTCGGGACAGAGAGGTGACAGACAGCCCTCACTGCTGTGGTGACCTCAGGCACAACCCCTACTCCTTTCCTCACCCCCACAGCTTGGACCACCCCTGCTTTCCAGGATGCCCTTTCCAGCAGCCAGTGCTCCTACCTGTGCAGGGTGGGATGTGCCCAGGCCACAGCTGGCAGAGGAGCTGCTACATCCCCAGTGGTGCTCAGCACAAACAGGGCCTGGAGACTCAGCACCATGTTCTGCCACAGTCTACAGCTCTTCACCTGGACCTGCTTCACTTGTACAGTGAGCACCAGCTGCAGCAGCAGCATTGCTTTCCCAGCCAGCCCCCACGGCAGCCCTTTCTCTTAGACTCCAGCAATGGGCTGGGTTTCTTCCAGAAAGCCCATGCTTACCCTGATGCCTCTGGCAGTGACTACTGGCCCACCCCAATTGCAAGGCCACCCTCTGCCCAGCAAGCACACATATACAGGGAGCTGTGCTCCCTTTTCCCTCACAGTGAGGTGAACCGTGTCATGGCTTTGTACCCTGATATCAAGGATATTGCTAGCTTGACTTTACTGATTCAAAGACACAGAAACTTATAAAGCTTCCAGATCAAATCTTTCCCAACAAGCACAAGTCCTGGGGCAAAAAGATGCTACTCTGAGGCTTAACTAAGTGTTATTAAAGGGCTTTATGGCAAGGGTTATAGCTGTTGCAGGAGCACAAGCTTAAGTATCAACCAGCTATGTTGCACAGGGCATCAAGTCAAGGCAAAGGCTGCCGTTCACTGCAGTGGAAGCTCATTCACCTCCCATGGAAATGAATGGAAGGGCTTAGGGTCACTGGGCTGGCAGCATTTGAACCTCACTGCTGACTGGGTTCAGGATGGCATAGATCTTCCTTAACACCTTGAAACACTAGACATGTTTTTAAAGACCTAACGTAAAGACTACTGTAAAAGAGCTGTGCTCCATGGTCCCCAGTACCAGGCCCTCCAAAGACCGCCCCCACCCCCTGACCACTTGCTCAGCTAGCATAAAAAGTGATTTGGCCTTTTTCTCCTAACACCGGGCTGCGCTCTCTGCTAGACAGCATCTTGGGGTCCATAGTATTGACTGATAGAGGCCCGGCCCTGTGTCAATGAGCTTTCAAAGGTGCCTCCCGTGTTTATAAACCAATGCTGTGAACAGGCAGAGTCACCAGCAGAGGTGGTGGAGGTACACCAGAGCACTTGAAGATAGCTGCCGATTTCTCAGGGATCACACACAAAGTCAGTCAAATCAGGGAAGTCATCTTCAGTGTAAGTCCTGATGTGGACTGAGGGCTCAGTTATTGATTCAAAACAGAAGAAAGCCAGGTGCTGCCAAGAGGGAAGAAAAACAGCTTTAAAGTGTCTCTGTTCTATCAAACAAGAAAACTATTGTTGACTTAACCCTTAATTATCAAACGTAGTCCCATAATGCAATTATTATACAGCTGATATATGACTACAAACATTTAAACTGTATTCTGTTGGGACATGCTTGATTTTTAGTAAGCTGTAAAGCTGCTAATCTCTACATTATTTCCCTGAATTCTTCAGGTTATAATTCAAATATTAAGGTTGATCCTGAAGGTTTTTGGCATTATACCAAAGTTTAAGTATGTCAGTATGACATGTTTTAAAAATGCTTTAACACATTATAAAATTATCATCTACAGCACTTTGTTCTGAATAATGTTGTCTTTTTTTCTTTTTCTGGGGGGGTTGTGGCTTGGTTTCCCTCACCCCGCCACTCCTGTTAGCACTGATGCTTCATCAAGTCCAACATTCAGGTGGGATTAAGAAACTCTCTCACCCTGCAAGATCTCTGTTAAGTTCTCTGAAGTGCAATCCGTGATGTTGGTCCAAGGCAGGAATTAAACATGGCCCTCACCAACAGCTCTGAATTCTCTTGCTTCCAAAAAGGTGCCTAAGGAGCAGCGATATACCTTTAGTGACATTATCACATGATACATTTTTGAAAGTGGTGATAGTTTCACCTGTTTCCCTTTGGAAACCATCAGCAGCTTTTTTATGGTGGTGGTGTTTAAAGAGTCTTCAGGAAATAAGTGTACTGTATCATCAGTTCAATTTCTTAAGGCCAGGTAGTTGGCTCCAAGAAATTCTAAACTGGATTCTGGAAGTAAGTTTTATCTTCACAGAACGTGACAGTTTTTTCCATGTGTCATGACTTTTCCACTAATTATAGTCATAATACATATAACAGGATCACCAGAATGGCTTAAAACTTTATCCACCGCATATTACATAAAGATTAGAAGTGACATTAAAACAAAACTATGGAATAAATGCCCTGTGAAATGCTTTGAAAAGTACTTGAGTTCTACAATCATCGTTAGCTGTGGTGACACACACCATGCACCACACTTCACACACTGAAGTGACCCAAGATATTTCATGGATTAAATGCCTATACTGTGCCGATGCAAGGCCAGGCTCATGGGCTTGCCTAACAACCTGTACCAGAGCTTTCCCAGCTGCTGCTGTACACCTCTACACTGCTGTATACACCTATGGACCTGCAGAGGAAGTGTGATGAGGAATGGAAAAATACCTTCCACATACTCAAACAGAGCAAGTCCCAAATGACAGCATTCAGAGAACATACACAGCAACGGAGCAGGATATAACCGTACATGTCAACATTTATTTTTATGTCTGGAATGTATGTTACATATTTTAATACAGAAAGCATTTAAAAATCTATAGGAAAATTGGCATGCTGCCTTCATATAGTGCCCTTGGCTTGCTGGAGACATGTGCTTAAGCTTTTCTCCTTTTCCTCTGAGGATGCACAGGAATGTGGTGGTTGCTCAAAACCCTCTCTTGATGTTTAATAACTTATTTTTCTTTCATTTCTGTCTTATTTACTAGGGAATCTTTCAGTAAAATACAGAGAATGTGCATTCTGCTGAGAAAGTGTCTGAGAACATAAATCAGGTTTTGACACTGAACAGAACTTGATTTCTCTTGGCTCTTCTGCTCACCAGAGGGGTTTTTCTCATGGAGCTTGTGTTTGAAGGGCAGCTCGGCAGCAGTGCTGTGTCACTGCCTGCTTGAGAGGAACTCTGCTGCTGGCCGAGAGCCCACAGAAAGCACAGACTGTTTCCTTACTCACCACAGCACAAGCATCTGGAACTCTCTGCTGCAGAGCTTTTTGCACCTCCCAAGGCAGGAGACCTCTTTTTGGCCTTGTCAGCTCCTGAGGTAAGGGAAGGGGCTGCGAAGAGGAAGGAGCAGGCAGCTTTTGCACAGGCAGGGTAGGAGGCTGTTGCTATTTGGTATCTCTGCTGAGATACACTCAAGTCCAGCTCTTGCTGCCAAGTTGAAAATGAATCCATAAATCCCAACAGGCTCAGAAAGCCGTTGATTGGGGGGAAGGGGGCTTTATTTGCTTTTTGCTTTCAAGACTCTTTTAGAAGAGGACTGAAGCAGTGGGAGCAGTCCTCCAGGAGACAGGTTGCTTTCCTAAGAGAGATTTACTGAGATGCCAAATTAATTTTAAGATAAAAATAAATAATTTTTTTAAGAAGTCATAAAAGAAACTCCTCTTCCCTTTTCTACTCTCACCCTTTCCTAAAAAGTCAGGAAGCCATAGATACCCTCCTTTTTGACAGGCTAGGGAAATGAGATACAAATATTTCACTGAAAGTCTTGGGTGGAAGTCACCCCTGCAACAGCTCTCCAGTATAAAAATGGGAAAGAGGGGTGTCCTCTGCACCCGATGCAGTCCTGTGCAGCTAACAGTACCTTCCTCCCACCTCTTCTTAAATTTCTCCCTTCACAGAACATTGATGATGTCTACTAATTTGGTGAGCTTAGATGCCATAAAAATTAATGCCACAAGATGGTCTATGAAGTAGATGATAATCCTGCTCTGTATCAAACACTTGTATGTGCCAATTATTCTGAGAAGTTTTGCTAATATTTTACCTTACTTCCCATAAGAGCTGGCATGATTTATAAGCAAACATTTAAACTAATCACAAACAACTAAATAGAACGAGAGAGGTTTTCTCTCCTCCTTAAAAATGTTGGATTGCTAGGGAAGAACAAGCAAGCCCTGTACTTCACCAAGCGTGACAGACTATCAGACAGACTCATACATTGGACACGGGTACTTTACATGCGTATCTCTAAGATAACAATTCAGATGTTATCTTTCACCTTTTGCACGGACTTTCCCCAAGCTAGGAGCTGGAACATCTCAGTTTCACTCCTGGAGCCGTGACTCATTCACTGTGCCACCTTTGTGTCTCTGTCACAGGGTACATCTGCTCTGCTTTCGCTCACATACGTACATACAGAACCGCTGTAGTATTTACCTGTGTGCTGGTGGGACTGGGATGCTTTGAATTATTGAGAAGAACAGCTTAATATTATGGCACCACTTGCTATTAGCATTATTAAGAAAGCACTATGACTTGCAATCAATAGCAAAGGGGTTTTTATAGCATTTTAGCCACGTCCCTTCTCTGCCCAGAGTTGCGCTCACTGCCATGAAGTCTTGCAGCATGGTCAGAGGAACACCTTAGATGCACTGGTGTACTGACTTGGCAAATGTAATCAAAATGTCCCTACAAATGGAGCAAAGCTGTGAACACAGCAATTTGTGGGGACAGCAGACAGAAGGCAGCAAGCCGGAAAGTTAGGACAATGCATGCAGGGCTCGCAGGCCTTTGAACACTGCAAGGAAATTAGAGGACATGCCTCGGCTGATGAACAGCAGCATCAGAATTGCTCACTGTAACCACACTGCCAGCTCCTCCTCTTTGGCTTTCCCCTGTGTCACACCATTTCCTCGGTTTCCCTAGTTTTTTCCACATTTTTTCCTCCAGTTCTTGCTGGGCTCAGGATTTCCAACCCACCCCCATGGAGTGGGTCACAAGTTACAAAACACTTCCTTGTCCTAACTGCTCTCCTTCCACCTCCACAAAACCACACGCTTCCAGCCACTGCCACCCCAAACTTCTGTTTTATGCTCCCTTCTCTTCCCTGCTCCCTCCTCCCTAGCTGTGCTGGGTACTCTTCCCACTCAAGCCCAGATAGCATCCTCTCTTTACCTTCAAGCCCTCCAGCTGAAGGTTTGTTTTTTTTCTTTCTTATTTTTCTTTGATTTTTTTCAGTGATTGTTTTTGTGGTGGTGTTGTTAAAACCTTGTCATAGATACCTTTAGCCCGGCAGAGATCTGATACACTCAGGCTGTTGTCCCACCCTGCCTTAAAGCAGTCTTCCTAGCAAAAGTTGTTTGAGAGAGGAAACAGAGGCAAAGTGACATTCACATGCACTCGTGCTGACTTCCTACAGCTTTCTCTTCTCTAAAGATCAGTTAAGATGCTAGGAGAAACTCAGCCACCACATGCTCTTAACTACCTTAAACCCTATGAAAAGCAACATTTACCCTTCACCTACCACCACCAAAATAGTGTATTTGAGGGAGTTACTAACGCTACTGGTTTCACACAGAAGATAAATGGGCATTAGGACACTGAATGGCAGAAAAAACCATAAACTAGAAGCACACAGCAAAGCACAGATGGCATAAAAACCAGTCAAATT